GATGTATGAATTAACTCAAAGCAAGTTACTGATTCTTGTGCCATGTATGTTGCATCCTCATTAAGGCTACAGACTATATTGAAACTAGATAATTACTTTTTTACAGGCAAGAATCCTATGGGCCACCTCCAACCCCTGTAATCATTTAACTTAACCTGGCAGCCCTAATAATTTTATTCAAAATATTGTAAGATCTCCAATTTTACTCCTAAGCAAGAGAAAAATATACACTGCATTATATACAAAATTAAGAAGAGACGTTAAAATGGTGTATGCAGTTAGGATACAGACCAGGAACTTGGCTGGGGATAAAATGGTTTTCTATATCCCAGAAATAAAGACTAATTCACCTTGAAATTACTCAAGAAAAGAAAATCATATTTTAATGCCAACTGACATTTTCAGTGGTGAGTGCAGTCTTCTCATCCCCTTAAAAGAATAGAAGGGGAAAAAAAATAAAACCTACCAATTAGAGATAGAAGCATGACTCAGTTTGTTGCTTTTGGATGCCCACAAAATTCAAAATCCCCCCTCCCTGTATTTTTATATATAGTTTTGTCTTGTTAGGGCCAAGGGGTTTTCTTGCAGGCTCCATCTGGAAGCTGAGGGAAAGTCTCTTCTGTCTGGTGCTGTAAAGACATACCTGAGAGAATGACTGAGAAGTCCTTATCGCTAGATGCTAACTTTAGTGAAGCCTGATCACTTGCAAAGGAATCAGTCTATGTGACAAAATACATTTCTGGGTTGAAATGAAAAACAAAACAAAACAACAGGTGAAAAACAGTATGCTTCTCCCTGCTCAAGAATTCAGAAGCTGACCATTTCTTAAGTACATTTCAGATGTCTATATTCCCCTTTTAAAATAAATGCTCAGAGACAAAATATTAAATAGCTTACAGCAATTTGGTCCAAGAAAGGCTATTTACAATGTCCATCATCCAACTGGACTGTGAAGGACAGTGTTACTAGGTTCTCTGTAGGGCTTTCTGACAGCAAACAACTCTGGTGCTCTTGTTTAAAGGCTGCGGTCCTTCAGGGTTCCATCACTGACTTACTTTGAAACCATTATCTTTCACCTTTGTGTGACAAAATACTTAAATGAAATGCATGAAATATTAATTGCTTTAGTTATGTCAGTGGTTGGATAAAGTTGCTTTGGGCAAGTTGTACAACAATATGCAAGATTCTGAAAGTTTAAAATGTAGTTGAAAAACCGGTAACATTTTAATTAAGTTCCTGGAGGAAACAGATGCATGACACAGGAAGTTCCACTGCGCTGGCAGGACTCTCCTGGCCTCCTCTTTTAAGTACTGCTGAACTCGACTTGGAAAGCTTTCATTTCTCAACACAATGCTTGGCTGAACATTATTATTTTTTCTTTCTTTTCCAAGAGATGCTCAGGATTTAAGATGAGCACTCAGGTTGCATTAAAGGCATACCAATACATTTGGTGCAATAAATATTTTAACCTGAAAATTGGAACAAACTTCCAGCAAAGCAGGAATGGTTGGATAAATTACAAAAAGGATATGCAACCTGGTGCCTCCAGATTTACAGTTCCTGTAAATCCAAATACCTATGGCAACTGTGTACAAATCAAGCAGTTCCTAACTCTATCATCTTTTCAGGGTCAATAACAGAGATGGCCAGGTTCACTCCTAGTTGGATTTTATAGAATAAGTTTCTGTTTGTCCCTGTTGTATGTTGGTTCAATGTCTGTCCAGCCTGGCTCGTACTGAAGACCTAACACAAACTGCTGGCCTCTTTGTCATATAAAATAAAAATTTCAAGAGGATATTATGGAAATGCGCTCCCCAGAGAGTTTTGTCCAGCGCCGACTTTATATTCTTTTCAGTGCCAGGTAAAAACCTTTTTATTTACTCATTATTTTAAGGGCTGAGGAATTTTACCTTGGTTTTAATATATCTACAGTCGCATTTTGTTTTTTGTTTTTGTTTGTTATTATATGTTGTTTATTTATTGTTCTTATTATTGTAAGCTGTCCTGGGATTATTTCCGTGTAGGACGGGATAAAAATATTTTAAATAAAATTAAATAAATTATTCCAATTAGTTGGCAAATTGTAGTAAGACATGTATTATACTGATATCCAATCTCTCATGTTTGGCCAAGTTGGTTGAGCAAGCTGTGAATGAACAGTTCCATGCTGTCTTTAGTTTTCCTTATGCCAATAACACCCAGCTTTATGTCTCCATTCTATCAACTTGCTGTGGTAGTGGCAGTCTTGAAAGCCTTTACAGGTTTGATAGCAGGCAGGATGTTAATTGTGAGCCTGCCAAGTCAGATGATTGGCATCAGCTACCAGAAACCATATATAACCAATACTGAAGGAGCTCCACTACTGACCAATTTGTTTCTGGGTGACCTAGGTCTCAGCCCAGGATACCCAAAGGAAAACCTATTCTTATATGTATTTTTTATATCACTGAAGTTCAGTAAAAGAACTTCACTAAAGGTGCTGCCTACTTTTAAGACTAGATAAAGGTAAAGGTTAAAGGTAAAGGTTTCCCCTTGACATTAAGTCCAGTCATGCCTGACTCTAGGGGGCGGTGCTCATCTCTGTTTCCTGGCCGAGGGAGTCAGCATTTGTCCGCAGACAATCTCCGTGGTCATGTGGCTAGCATGACTAAACACCGAAGTGCACGGAACGCTGTTACCTGCCCACCAAAGTGGTACCTTTTAATCTACTTGCATTTGCATGCTTTCGAACTGCAAGGTTGGCAGGAGCTGGGATGGAGCAACGGGAACTCACCCCGTTGTGCAGATTCGAACCAGCGACCTTTCGATCTACCAGCCCAGCAGCACAGCGGTTTAAACCACTGCAATCTTAGGAATGTCTATTCGGGACTGAGTCTCATTTAATGCATCAAAGCCTCCTCTTTAACTGGATTTATTATTATGGAGATCTGTATTTTTATATGTCAGAATGATTGCTCTCCCTTGAAATATGTTTTCAGCCTCAGAGTTTTTTCCTTTTTAATAAATTGGCCCTTGCTACTCCCACCCCATGGCTTGATCTGCAGAAGTTGGCAAATGCACCAATTCTGGCAGATCAAGATACTTTTAAGTGCAAAGGACCAGACCAGCCTGTTTTTAGATAGCAAGCAATCTTACTCTTAACGTTGACAATCCTACTCTTTCTGTACATTCTGGAAGTAAAAATTAAAAGGGTTTTTTTCTATCTCAAAGTCTTAAATCAACATGATGGGCAAAATTCTATAATCTGTTTATGTCTGATCCCAAGCCAGGAGTAATCCTACTGCAAAGTAACTAGAGAGCAGTTCTTTCTTACATCTTTGCAACCTTCCAGGACAGACTCTTTCAGACTGAATCTTCACAAAACCTCTTTGGGATAGTTGTAAAAGACTATTCAACTTTAGATTACATCCTATTTATAATGTGACCATTCTTGTTATTCTGAAAGTTGACAGAATGACTTTATACAATGGAAGATGGTTCCTGCATATCTTTATTAATTTCTGAGAAAGAATACTTGGAAAAGTTCCTTTTCATTACTGGAATTTTGCATCTGCTCAAGCTAGGACCAAAATCCCAGTTTGGGCAATATCTTTATTAGGGCCATCCAAAATTGTACAAAAATGTGCAGGATTTTGACTTCTCCAGAATCCTTCATCTGGATAGTTGATACAAAATTGCACAGAATGGGGAAAGCAAAATCCAAAAAAAATGTGGCCAGTTGCTATGGCCATGAGGTTTGACGTTAATACAGGCCTAGTCTCTAAATGGGGATTTGCAGTCTGAATGAACTGGTCAAATATTCATTTTTGGTAGAAAGGCAAGGCATAAATCAAGTAAATAAATCTTACATTTGTTGTACTAAAGCCATTCACACTGATTAGCTGCGCTGATATATAATGTTTGCAAACATTCCAACTGAATAAAGTCAGTATATTAATAGCTGAACTTCCTAAAGAGACTGTTGGTTTTCTGGAATTAAAATTTCAAGGTTGTGGGGCTATGAGTAACTGCCAGAATCTAGCTGAAGACTGGGGAAAAATCTCAGAAAGCAGAGAAATTAAGGGGTAGGGAGTTCAGAAGCAACATAGCTAAAGGAAGGATGCAAAAGCAGTACAAGATCGAGAACTAGGATTTTAAGGGGTATCATCTTAAAAGAGTCTTGCAGATGCAGAAGATGTCAGGGACGAAATTGAGACAATTTCACATAACATGAATTAACTACCCAGCTGACTGTAGTTTTTGTTCACTAGGAATGAAGTTGTCTTGTACAAAAGCCTCAATAGAAAGTTAACCATGAAAGTTATCTTGCCTATCCCAAAGTTCTCCTGAAACAGTAAATGAGCTTGCATTATATTTGCTCAGTCTCAACGTATCTGCCTGCATAATAGGAATGTTTACTTTTTTCCAGGTAAGCTAATTGTGCACTCAATATTAATTCCCAAATCCAACTAAATTGTGTGTAAATCTTACCCATTTTTGCAATAAACATATCGATAAACATAATTCTAAGTGAGTCATATATCCAAGTAAATATGTGGCTTGTTCCATTGTGACCGGCAACTGAACACCAGTTACAATGTGTAAAACAAGAGGTAGCTTCGATTCATCTACCACGTGCAAGATAGGGCACTGAATGCAAAAAAGAAAAATAAACGTTAAAGACTTCCACAAAACTATGTTGGATTCAGCGTCTGAACCACCTTTATCTCAAACCCAGAACACACGTGATATCCAGAACTTTGTTCTATCAACACAAACCTATACACGTTTACTAAATGCAATGAGACTTACTCCTGAGTTCCGAATAAACTGCTGCCAAGAATGTACCAGGATTTCTGTGCGCGCTCAGGGTTGAAGCCCAATACAAAATATTGAGGGCCATATTCACGAAACGCGGATTCGACGTGGGGGGGGGGGAACTGTCCAGTCTACGCATGCGCACTTCTATCTCGAAGTCTGTTGGGCTGCCCCCTCCCCTACGCGCGCCAGCAACCGAGTACCTGAAAGAAACTCGCTCCTCCTCCTCCACTCGGCGTCGTCAGCCGCTTCTTCTTCCCAGAGCTGCCGTTACCAGGACTGGAGGGACGCTTTTTTCCACGAGCCACTGAGGTTCCTGCCCCAGAAGGCGCGGCTGGCAAGGGCGTTTGTGGCGCGGTCGGAGGGGAAGTGGTAGCTGGGCTCAAAGCCGCCATGCTGACGACGGCGATCTCCTGGACCTTGTCAAAAGAATCGCTTTCCTTTACGCGCTGGCTTTTAGCGCATGCGTACTACTTCATAGCCTTGAAGAATGCACTGTTTCTCAGCTGAAGTTCGAGCCCAAGGGCCCAACCCGGCCAGTCATCCGTGGTCCTTCTGATTGCACACCTGTAGTTGCCCCCCCCATAAATTGCTATTCAGAAGCACTGAACAGTTGTTAGATTTCCTCTAATCCACTTTACACCAAATTGAACTGTTGAGGTCCCTGTAGGACTTAAATTGAAGAAACCATCACGGGGGGGGGGGGGAGTGTGATCACTGAATGCCAGACCTTGCATAGGGGGTCTTCTTCACACTACCTCTTCGTCTTACTTTAGCAACATTCTTTTGTCTTCCCTTTTTCCTCTCCAAAGCAAGCAGTTTTACAAAAAGTAAATGGTGTTTGTTAAGCTAATCAAGCTCCTATGCAAGTGGCTTTTTACAAAAGTCAGTTAAGCTAATCAGGCTCCTTCAGTACCTTAGTGAAATGGTTGCAGTGCTGGACTGTTCTCAGTTATGAAACTCACTAAGGGACTCACGTTTAGACTAACCTACCTCACAGCGAAGAAAAAGTGGAGAGAAGGACCATGTGAACTATTCTTAGCTCCCTGCAAGAGCACCAAATAAATAATATAAGGATGGTATGCCACCTCCTCCTTCATGGATCACTGCCTTGTTGTGGTGAAGGGGCTTGCGTAGCTCAATGAAGCTATGAGCTATGCCATGCAGGGCGTCCCAAGATGGACAGGTCATAGCAGAGAGCTCTGACAAAATGTGATCCACTGGAGAAGGAAATGGCAACCCACTCCAGTATCTTTGCCATGAAAACCCCATGGACAGTACCAAAAGGCAAAAAGATATGACACTGGAAGATGAGCCCCTCAGGTCGGAAGGTATCCAATATGCTACTGGGGAAGAGCAAAGAGCTAGTACTAGTAGCGCCAGAAGGAATGAAGCAACTGGGTAGGACACTCAGTTGCAGATGTATCTGGTCGTGAAAGGAGAGTCTGATACTGCAAAGATCTATACTCCATAGGAACCTGGAATGTAAAATCCATGAATCAAGGCAAGCTGTACATGGTCAAACAAGAGATGACAGGACTGAACATCGACATCTTAGGAATCAGTGAACTAAAATGGACAGGAATGGGTAAATTTAATTCAGATGACCATCGGGTATACTACTGTGGGCAAGAATCCCTCAGAAGAAATGGAGTAGCCTTCAAAGTCAATAAGAGAGTAGGAAAAGCAGTACTGGGATACAGTCTCCCAAAATGGCAGAATTATCTCAGTTTGAATCCAAGTCAAACCATTCAACATCACAGTAGTCCAAGTCTATGCCCCAACACTGGTGCTGAAGAGGCTGAAGTTGACCAGTTCTATGAAGGTCTACAACACCTTCTAGAATTAACACCAAAAAATGATGTCCGTATCATCATGGGGGATTGGAATGCTAAAGTAGGAAGCCAAAAGATAATCGGAATAACGGGCAAGTTTGCCCTTGGAGTACAAAATGAAGCAGGCCACAGGCTGGTAGAATTTAGTCAAGAGAATACCATGGTCATAGCAAACACTCTTTTCCAACAACCCAAGAGACGACTCTACACATGGACATCACCAGATGGTCAACACAGAAATCAGACTGACTATGTGATCTGCAGCCAAAGATGGAGAAGCTCTATACAGTCAGTTAAAACTAGACCAGGAGCTGACTGTGACTCAGATCATGAGCTTCTTGTTGCAAAATTTAGGCTTAAATTGAAGAAAGTAGGGAAAAGTACAAGACCACTCAGGTATGACCTAAATCATATCCCTGATGAATATACAGTAGAGGTGACAAATAGATTTAAGGAATTAGATCTGATAGACAGAGTGCCTGAAGAACTATGGATGGAGGTTCGCAACATTGTACAAGAGGTAGCAACTAAAACCATCCCAAAGAAAAAGAAATGCAAGAAAGCAAAATGGCTGTCTGAGGAAGCTGAGGAAAGAAGGGAAGCAAAAGGCAAGGGAGAAAGAGAAAGATACACCCAATTGAATGCAGAATTCCAGAGAATAGCTAGAAGAGATAAGACTGCCTTCTTAAATGAGCAGTGCAAAGAAATAGAAGAAAACAATAGAATAGGGAGTACAAGAGATCGCTTCAAGAAAATTGGAGATACAAAGAGAACGTTTCACGCAAAGATGGGCATGATAAAGGACCAAAATGGCAGGGACCTAACAGAAGCAGAAGAGATTAAGAAGAGGTGGCAAGAGTACACAGAAGAACTGTACAAGAAAGAGCTTAATGTCCCTGATAATCATGATGGTCACTGACCTGGAGCCAGACATCCTGGAATGTGAAGTCAAATGGGCCTTAGGAAGTCTGAGCAACAACAAAGCCAGTGGAGGTGACAGTATTCCAGCTGAGCTATTCAAAACCCTAAAAGACGATGCAGTAAAAGTGCTACACTCAATATGCCAGCAAACTTGGAACACTCAAGAGTGGCCACAGGATTGGAAAAGGTCAATTTACATTCTGATCCCAAAGAAGAGCAATGCCAAATAATGTTCGAACTACTGCACCATTGTACTAATTTTACAAGCAAGCACAGTTATGCTCAAAATCCTACAAGCTAGGCTCCAGCAGTATGTGGACTGAGAACTACCAGAAGTACAGGCAGGATTTCGAAGAGGGAGAGGAACTAGAGATCAAATTACCAACATACACTGGATCATGGAGAAAGCTAGGGAGTTCCAGAAAAACCTCTACTTCTGCTTCATTGATTATGCTAAAGCCTTTGATTGTGTGGATCACAACAAATTGTGGTAAGTTCTTAAAGAGATGGGAGTCCCAGACCATCTTATTTGTCTTGAGAAACCTATATGCGGGTCAAGAAGCAACAGTGAGAATTGGATATGGAACCATTGATTTGTTCAAAATTGAGAAAGGAGTTCGGCAAGGCTGTATATTGTCACCCTGCCTATTTTACTTATATACAGAGCACATCATGCGAAAGGCTGGGCTAGATGAATCACCAGTTGGAATTAAGATTGCTGGGAGAAATATCAACAACCTCAGATATGCAGATGATACCACTCTAATAGCATAAAGTGAAGGGGAACTAAAGAACCTCTTGATGCGGGTAAAAGAGGAGAGCTCAAAAGGTGGCTTGAAACTGAACATCAAGAAAACTAAGATCATGGCATCTGGTCCTCTCATTTCCTGGCAAATAGATGGGGAAGAAATGGAGGTAGTGACAGATTTTATTTTCCTGGGCTCCAAGATCACCATAGACAGTGACTGCAGCCATGATATTAAAAGACACTTACTCCTGGGGAGGAAAGCTATGGCCAGTCTAGACAGCATACTAAAAAGCAGAGACATCACCCTGCTGACAAAAGTTTGTATACTCAAGGCTATGGTTTTCCCAGTTGCAATGTATGACTATGAAAGCTGGACTATAAGGAAGGCTGAGCACTGAAGAATTAAGGCCTTTGAATTGTGGTGCTGGAGAGGACTTCTGTGAGACCCTTGGACTGCAAGGCGATCAAATTGGTCAGTCCTACAGGAGATGAACCCTGACTGCTCTTTAGAAGGCCAGATACTGAAGATGAAACTCAAATACTTCGGCCACCTAATGAGAAGGAAGGACTCTCTGGAGAAGACTCTAATGTTGGAAACGACTGAAAACAAAAGGAGAAGGGGACGGCAGAGTATTAGGTGGATAGATGGAGTCACTGAAGCAGTCAGTGTGAGCTTAAGTGGACTCTGGGGGATGGTGGAGGACAGGAAGGCCTGGAGGAATGTTGTCCATGAGGTCGTGAAGGGTCGGACTTGACTTCACAACTGGCAACAACAAATATATAAATAGCATAAACTTTTGCATGACTATTATATATGATAATAGTTTTTAATGCTTAGTTATTTGTGTTTAATAATAGCCCGTGTTGTTTGATCTGATTTTTTTTTAGTATGCAAGATCATTTGGATGTTTTTTAAAGCACTTCAGATATTATTTGATAAAAATGAACATCTGATTTTAAAAGCACTAGGGATAATAAGCCCTAACAAGTATCAAACTAGAGTACAAACAAAACCAATATGCAGCCTAACTAGCCTTGTGTATATAACAAAATACACTGTTTGTCTTTTAAGCGCTTTTCCATTCGTACTCTTTGAAATTATTGTTTATTTACTTGTAATCCTCATTCTCCTACTTTTTTCAAATAATATTTGAAACTCTTCTAACTTAATAAGCCTTGGGATAATACTAAATCAACTATAAGTCTGGTCAGGCATTATTTACACTGTTTACTTTAACACATCATCAGAGATCAGGATGTGGTGACTGGCCCCACCTGACATTATGTGTGCTGAGTAGCTCTGCTTCCAAGTGTCTAAGCATACGGTATGTATAAAGGCCTCCCCCTGTGGAAATTTGTACTGTATCCATGGACATCTAGGGGCAGATCCACACCAACAGAGGCAGGGCTGTACAATAAATAGTTTAAATAATGCCTGAATAAGGATTATGATTCAAGTTTATTTTTGATTAACCACCTGCACTAATAGTCACTCCTCAGTAGTATCCTCAGGAGTCTTCACCAGCACCACAATTCAAAGGCGTTAATTCTTTGGCGCTCAGTTTTCTTTATGGTCCAACTCTCAGAGCAATACAATACAACTGGGAAAACCATAGCTTTGACTATATGAACTTTTGTAAGCAGGGTGATATCTCTGCTTTTTAGTATGCTGTCTAGATTTCCATAGCTTTCCCCCCAAGGAGAAAGCGTCTTTTAATTTCTTGGCTGCAGTCACCATCTCTGGTGATCTTGGAGCCCAGGAAAATAAAATCTGTCACTACCTCCATTTCTTTCCAATCTACTTGCCAGGAAGTGATAGGACTGGATGTTTCTATTTGAAGTATTTTATGCTATTCCTCAATCACAAATCCTTCAAGAGCAGCTTACATTTGATCAATTTAACAGGACAACTAGATGGTTAATGT